TCGGGGTTGTACGAGGGAAAGGCTCATTCGGTACCTTCCCTCGGCCCATTTCTATACTCCACAAAGAAAACACAGGCTGTGAGAGTTCCCAAGACAGGAAAAATTAAAGCCACAGTGAATTATCGAAAACTTTAGACACTGTTTAGAGCTGTGGAAGATTTAAGGATGAGGAAGTTAACACAGCTAGGGATAGCTCAGTGGTGAGAGCTTTTCTAGAGTGTAAAGGCCCTGGCTTAGATCCATAGCATTGGGGAGCGGGGAACGAAAAGAGAGAAGAACAAAAGCCCCAATTACGTTAAACAAGGCTTTTTCTGTCTGAGCCTGGCATAATTTTCCATCTCCTGTAGACTTTTGGGTTTAGTTCACCCAACAAGTTGGGACTGCATTCGCATGAGCTGAGCTCAGTGAGATGGAAAAACACTTGAAATCAAATGTCAGAAATACTCTGTAAATCCTCATCTCAAGACTTTTAATTATATTTTGGAACATCTGGGTGGGCCTTGCAACATCTGGGAGAGTCTTTTTAATTGAGGTACACGACTTCAGCAAGAACCAGATTCCAAAGTGAGTGTCTGCTAATTAAACATAAGTCATACCCAGAGAAGATGGACATAAATAGTTTAGTGGTATATAAATCAAGAGGGAATAAGCAAAGGCCATGGAATATGGGAACAGGACTGTGTGGGGTCTCCCTCCTGCTCCTCACTGGGCTGCTCTGTGGGGTGGAGGTTGGGGAAAACTATTAGGTAAAATAATAATAAAAAAGAATATGTAAAACATGGGATTTCAAAGCTGTTGTTACTATAGCAACGCTGTAACACTAAAGTGAGGCAGAACATGTCTCTCCTTCCTTAAGACACCCCAAGATTTATTTACATATCATAGATTCCTTTTGGCTCCTTGAAAATTCTTCATCATTAACAACGCTGAGATAAATAGTACTTCCTTCCTTGAATGAGGGGAGTGGTGTTCATCATCTGAGCAATTTTAAATGTGGTGCGTGGCAGTCAAGCTCCAGATTAACCGCAATATTTTGTGATGCCTTCGGGTTTAAGAAGCACTCTCACACACAGCCCATTCAGTCCCCCCAGTGAGCTGGGAGGGTTCTTCTCACCGGTTTTACACAGGAGAAAGCTGAAGTCCAGGGAGCACCACTGGCCTCTGGCTTCGATTCTCTCAATTGTACTGCCCCTTTCCCCACTTCCATTCAGCGTACCTTGCCCAATATCACAGAGCTAAGTGGTTCAGGACATGCTGCTCTATGAACTTGGGGCCTGGGAACCCCAGGCTGTTCTTGCCTTTGCTTATACAGCCCTGTTATTGTAGCTCTTTGTCTATTTACTTGATTTTTCAAGTTCTGTGGGGGGTCTTAATTTCTAAAATTTACTAAAATAAAACACAGATTTTAATTAATATGCTACCTCCTACCCTATTCACCGTGCTGAACTGCAGAAAGCCCTGGACTTTGCCATTATTGCTTTTTATTGTGCACTAATTACATAAAACTTTGCCTTCTTTCATCAGAGATGCCCATTTTAAGCCATCAAATTAATCTTTGACCAAGTTTCCGGCTTGTAGACTATCCCAGGAGAAAGGAGATTTATCTCGATGAGGTTTCCCTGTCTTTCCATCCCTGGGGATCTGTTTACTGATGGGCTAGATTTCCATGTGGGTCTGATAGGGTGCCAGAATGAGTTAAAGGACCCTACGGAGGTGGTTCTCGAAATTCTATATCACGTTTGCCCCAGCTTTTTCTTCTCCACTGATGCTAGTACCATAGCTCTTCAGCCCACCTCAACTCTGAGCTATATTTTCTAATACCAAAGAGAGCATTTTGGCTTGAGTATAAGAATAGTCTGGAAGGGTAAGGGAGTTGGTGCCTCAGAACCTTCAGCTAAAGACACTAGCTATTAAATTCCCCTGTCCTTGATCCCCACTTTGAAATCCCCCAATGGTCTCAGCTCATCCTGTTCACGGTTTACCTCACACTGTGTTCTCTCCTCTCCGCCCCCCCCCCATTGTCCTCTCCCCTCACGCCTAAAGTGCCTGCACAGTCCCTCTTTCAGACGCTAGCTTTTGAAGTGACTATTTGTTTGATATTGGAATTCCCCCTTCATCTTAAGCAAAGTCTTTGGAGAGTGGAAGAAGCTGGAAGCTACCATTAGGAAGGTCATTAGTGTGCCCAGCACCTGTTAATATGCACCCATAGGTATTTATCTTGAGGAGAGGTCACCTTCCCAATTCCTTAAGGCTGGGATTTCACTCTGCCCTCTACAATAACTTAAATATAAAATAACTAGCCACTTCTCCAGAGTTTCTATTGCCCTATGTAAAAATGCAAAGGCAAGACCTTTTCAAGTCCATTCCAGACTTCAATCTTTGCTATTCCTTCCTTCTAGAATGTTCTTGATTCTTGGCTTCCAGTATTGAGTCAATTGTCAATTCTGCAGAAGCCTTCACTGGCCTTACCATTAAGGCAGCCCATCCCTTCAGTCCCTATGACATCACCCTATTTTCCTAATAGTTACCGTATTATTTCCTAATACTTATGTGGTTTTATTTTTTTAATTTACTTATGGGCATACTTATTGTGAGTCCATTCCCCACTAAGATCTTCTCTGTTTTATTTTTTGCTTTATTTCAATGTCCCAGCCATTATCAGTGTTCAAAAATGATAGCTATCCCATATGCTTGTCATACAATTCGCTTGCTCTTATAACAACACAGCTGCTGGGTTTTAAGTGCACAGACTACTGAAAAGAGTTTGCCTCCCTGCTCAGTTGAAGCTATAGGTTTCTGGGTCTCTGTGACAGCTTAAGATGCCAGTGTGAGGCATTAGGGTCCCTGGGCTACTCCTCCATGGCTCGCAGTCTTTGTGCTGACATGCCGCAGCCTAAACTCGGCTGAACAAGAAAACTGAGAAGCAGAACGAAGGACTCTATTGTCTCCATTCTCACCTCTAGCCCAAGTATGTAGATTAGGATGTGACTGGGTCCCAGAAGAAACAGATTTGGAAGGAATGCTTAGGCCTTGCTCTAGAACTTAGGGAGGAAAAATAAGAGGAGTCTTGCATTGTTCCAGGTAGCTTTACCAGCAGCGGGGCCGGATAGAGATCTGACTCCAGCCAAAAACAGCAGCTGTACATTGCAGCTCATGCACTGAAACCAGGAAATGAGAATATAATCTTCTTTCATTTTTGTTTTTATTTTCAAGGCTGGGTTTCTTTGTGTAGCCTTGGCTGTCCTGGAACTAGCTCTCTGCAGACCAGGCTGACCTCGAACTCACAGAGATCTGCTTGCCTCTGCCTCCTGAGTGCTGGGAACTAAAAGTGTGCACCACTGCCCAGTGAGAATATAATCTTATGATGAGAGCTAAGGGAGCCACAGCACAAAAAGCAGGGGTAACAGCACATGCGTCATTATCATTTGCTGGTGTATCTAGTCTGACAGGACCATCTAGCTTTTCCTCTTTAAGGTCAACCTGGGGTATAAAGCGGGACTAGCATGTAAGCAAAAAATCTACATTTTTCCCATTGTCCTCCCCATGTGCAAACTTGAATTCAACATGATTTGTTTTAATCATGTTAAGACTGGGAAATTTCAATAGACCACTGTAAAACTTTAGAACTGGAAATGGTAGGTTTTTGTTTTGTTTTATTTTTTGAAAAAAATAATCGTAAATGGAATTTTCTCTCATCTATGATAAATAGTAATAATCCTAATTATTCTGTGAGTTCTGATTGGTGAAGCAAAAATTATCCAGATATCCATGTGTTGATTTTTTTAAGGAAATGTAGAAGAGTGGGCTAGAACAAGTGATCAAGTCATCAGAAATGGAGGCCCGGCCTTTCATTGCTCACACTGACCCACAGGATGGTGGCCGATTGGGAGAAACACGACACCATGACAATGTGTGAAAACCAGCATTAAACAAAAAATTACTGCTGCATGTGCTCTCTCTGAGATCAACATCTCCTTCCCCCCCCCCTTATGCCTCTTTCACGCTTCCTTTCTATTATTTACTACTAGATTGCTATCGATCCAGTATTCAAGGCTTGATGAAGCATAACTGATACCATTGAATGTTCTTATACTGTATATGGGTAAGCAGATATGAAAGTAGGTAATGTAAATACTGACGCCCTGGTTGGAAATGCACGAATTATCACCACCACACAGAAATTGATAGTGGCCGGTAGGTAATAGAGTAACAATAGCTAGGATCTCCTAGGGATATCTGACTCCAAAGAAGGGATCACGACTTAACATGTCGAACTTGGTGGGAGATCAAGTGTTTCCCTTTTTTATTATCATACTCTACCAAGGTCTACATAATGTTGGATGGGAACTGGGAGCAATCTAGCCATCGGGCAAGGTTAGTATACAGAAATAATTCATTAAAAAGGGGAAGGAAAAGCTCCCCACCCCACCCAAAACATGTCCTCACTTGACTCTTCGCTAAATGTTCTTAACTGAACTCTTTATACTTAGATGTTTTTCATAAATGCATAAAGTGGAGCCATATATTATTTTATGGTCTCATCTAGTTACAGATCTACTTAAAACCACTTAGTACAATTTGTCCTCAACCTAGTTTAAATGACTAATTATGACACTGTGCCATAGATCCCCCAGTACAGAGCACCAGGTAACTTCAGCCTTTAATAGGTATCATATTAAGCCATAAGCACTATGATTTCATTCTTTAATGCCTGCTATAATAACACTAGAATTCGCTCTAGATCAGGAAGTAGCTTCTACTCCGCACTCAGTTAATTATCTAGTTGCATGGCCTTGGCAAGTCACAAAGCCCTGGAGACTGACATTCCTCATCTATAAACAAAAGCAACCATTGAGTTCAATGAAGCCAAAGTCCAACCTGGCGGAAGAGTTCACACTTATTGAGTACTCAAAAGAAGCAAGACCATTTTCTTGAACTCACTATGGAGGCTTTCTTCTGAAATACTTTTGACTCCTGTTTAAATGAGCTTGACAACTTACCAAACACATTTTCAGAAAGAGAAAACTCATCCATGGCCTGTAAATGAGAGTGCTCAATCAGATTCATCTTGGACACCACTCAAAGTTTTCAGTCTGAGAATGTACTTCTGTGAGGGCGGTCTTCAAATCAGAACCCTGAAAGGCAGATACATAGAGAAGTTCACGGTGGCGATATGGGGTCAGGAGTTGCTCCAGAGAAACAGGTAAAAAGCAAGTGGACCTATAGCTGTCCAAGTGACTCCTCTGTGGAGATTTCTCTATAGCCTTCTTACGCATTTGTCTCAATACTATGGTTATACCTCACTTAAAATGTTTAAGTTATATGCTTTCAGAAGAGCTGTTTGCTAATTTAAAATGCCACATTTTTTTTCATTTAAATTTCAGTAGTTGGGAGATTTAGACAGGACATGATAACATTTAGGTTATGTCTTTATTTATTTGGTTTTTCGAGACACGGTTTCTCTGTATAGCCCTGGCTATCCTGGATCTCATTCTGTAGACCAGGCTGGCCTGGAACTCAGAGGTCTGCCTATCTCTGCCTCCCAAATGCTGTGATTAAAGGTATATGCCACCACCTCTTGGCTATTTCTTTTATATATAGAAAGAAAAACAGAAACAAATATAATGACTTTAATTAAGAGAGGGATCATCTTTGATTTATTTTCTTAACTTTATTTAAAAGTTGAATGGGAATGTGTAAACACACAATAGTAGCTTCATGGCACTCCCTATTGTAATTTCCTTGGCTATTTATGCATTATATCAATAGGTCAAAATTTATAGATTGTTCCACTAGGAGAGACTTGATTTCTTCCTGCTAGGGAATGTTTAGGGACTTGCATTTTTCACTCTAATGTCTACCTTAGCTCTACACTAGACTAGGGTAAAACCAAAATGAAAAGGAGGTAGGATTAAAAAGAGAAATAATGGAACCTGGAGAGATGGCTCATCTTACTGTCCTTGCAGAGGACGTGGGTTCTGTTCCCAGCATCCACATGGCAGATTACAATTGTCTATGGCTCCAGTTCCAGGAACTTGACACCCTCCTCTGCCCTCTGCAGCCTCCAGGCATGCAGGTGTGCATAGACAGACACGCAAGTGTGCACAGACATACATGCAATCAAAACACTCACACACACAAAGTGTTTTTTTTTTTTAATTTTAAAAAAGAGAAATAATAGTAAATCTCACCCAAATGTCTGAAGTTTCATTCTGAAGGAATTTCTGGAGTATCCAAGAGAAGCAGTGTCCACATTGAGCTGATTTGGTAGGTCTTCCTTCCTTCCTTCCTTCCTTCCTTCCTTCCTTCCTTCCTTCCTTCCTTCCGTTTCTTACCTCCCTAGGGAGCGAAAGGAGTAGGGAGTAGTTGGACAGTGAAAAGGTGAGTTCTCAGAGCGTTCCCCTCAGGTTGAGAATGATTTTCTAACCTTTTTATCCTGTCTCCCCTGAGAAATTTTTTATCTAAATATTTGTATTTTCTACCCTGGAAGAGAATATTAGAGTTTTGTTTGACAAATATTTGTTTCATTAGAATGTCCCCACTCTTCGGTCTCCGTGTCTTTCCCAGCTCAGACAGAAAGGACTTTCAGATCTGTCTGGCAAGGTGGCCTCCAGGAACCTCTTTGCTTCACTCATTCATTTGTTCCTGCTTTAGGCCAAACATTTACTGAGTGCTTTACTCCACAGTAAACTCTGGGCTGGATCTTCTGGGATAAAGTGACGAAAGCTGAAAAGCATCCATGATCCATGATGCCAAGCTTAATGGGAAACAGACACCTGTAAAGTGCACACAACTCAGCTGCACACAACACATTGTAATGAACATGATTTATAAAGGCCCAAAGTAACATGCTCTAATTCATTTGGGCTCAAGGGACAGGGATGTAGGCAAAGAAGGACATTCTTTTTTTTTTAAATTTGTTTCATTGATCGGTTGGCTGGCTAGCTGGTTTTTCAAGGGTTTCACTATTTATGCCAAGCTGGCTGGCCTTGAATTCACTATGGAACACAGACTGGCCTTGAACTCACAATGGAACACAATGGCCTTGGACTCCTAACCTCCAGACTACTGAGATTACAGGTATGAACCCCCATACCTGGCAGAGGATATGGTTTTAAGGGCAGTTTTTAGAGATGAGCATTTCTGTAGTTCACCCGAAGAGACACCAACTGCACCCACTGTGAGGATCCAGACAATCCTGATGCATGTGGTAAACCAAGGGTGTAGCCTTCCTGAGCTCTAGAAAAACTCGACTACCAAACCCATGGTTGAAGAAGATAGGAGACTTTTGGATGATACCCCAATCTAAGTTAGAGGACATCAAGAGACATAACCTTCTCTCCAAAGCAAAACCTAAGTCATCGGAGAAATACAACATGGTCAATTTAGCTGCATTCAGCTTGGGAGGTTTTTCTGAGCACAGGGCGAGAAAGGAAGTTTCTTTAGAAGCATTGGAAGTCAGGTCAGACCCTTCAACAGAATCCAACAAGGAGAGAAAGCCAATCTCTCCGCCAACCATCAGGTGTTTTGAATGAGAAGTACCCACCCACAGGCTTATGTGTTTGAATGATTGTTGTCCGGCGGAGTGATTTGGGGAGTGACGGAACCATTAAGAGGTGGAACCTTGTCGGAGGAAGTACGTCACTGTGGGCGGGCTTTCAGAGTTTACAACTTTGCCCACGCTGCTAGTTTACTCTCTCGGCCTGGCTTCCTTCCCATGGTTGGTGATGTGATCTCTCCTGCTCCGGGCCCCTGATGCCATGCCTCCCCAGTCATCGAGGACTCTCCTTCTGGAAGTGTAAGCCAGAATAAACTGCCTTTTCCATTATTTGTTTTATGACAGCAAAAGAAAAGGAACCAATACAACTCTCATCCTCAAATAACTGCCCCATATCATAGTAGACCTTAGAACCCATGAGCGCTCAGGAGCATTCTGAGGGAAGTTGTGAAATAGGAGCAGCACCATAACCCATACAGAAGTGCCTAGCAGTGCAATCATGACTTCTGGGTGAGTGATGTTCTTTCTGAGGGACCAAAAAAAAAAAAAAATCCAGTGGAAGGTGAAGCCAGAGCAGACTTGATGCATATGAAGAGACACAGGCCCTTCCAAAATTCCTGGGGACTATGATTGATTGAGAAGACAGACTTTGATAGGGAGCTGGAGGCCCCAAGGAATAAGCCAGGAAATGCTGAAACCAATACAGAAATCTCATTCATGTTTGCAAGCCAATTTAGAGCTAGAGAAATTCAATCTTAACTCTGTTAGCTATCAGTTATATAAATACATATCCAACACACATGTATAAAACACACATAGAAGTCATGTACCTCAAATGTACATATATATGTGTCTATAGACTATTTATTGCCCCCAGTTCAAGTAATGACTTTTTTTTTGGTTTTTCGAGACAGGGTTTCTCTGTGTAGCTTTGCGCCTTTCCTGGAACTCACTTGGTAGTCCAGGCTGGCCTCGAACTCACAGAGATCCTCCTGGCTCTGCCTCCCAAGTGCTGGGATTAAAGGCGTGCACCACCACCGCACGACTAGTAATGACTATTTTGGAGTTACTCCCATCTCTAGAAGAGAATATTCCACAATGCTAAAAACTGCTAATTGTTCCTAATTTGCAACCCAAATGTATACATTTGATGCTGGCTCTGACTTTGGGTTTCTCCCTAAACTCCCCTTTCTTACTTCCACAGTTTGGTTTAATCTGGTTGGAGTCAAGTTTTCATTATGTTTCCCAATCTGGTCCTGGACTCCTGGGCCTCAAGGATCCTCCTGCTTTGTGTAGCTAGTACCACAGACATGCCGCTGTTCACGTCCTCTACAGTTTTTAACCTTGTGTGTGTTCACAAGGCTAAAATGCATACTTCACGGCCTATTGCATCTCTCTAGCGTTTTATAGATGTGCTCTTCTTCATTTCCATTCCTAGACATTCCACTGTATGTTCGTATAAACACAGTATCTTAAAATCAAGTGGCAGGCACATAATAGCCCCCAAGAAATGTTGGCTTACTTCAACTATTAGTGTTTATTATTTTTCTTGCATAGTTTTGCCAAGTTCTGTTGTATCTGGTGTGTTCCCTTGGGAATTGGCACAGAGATCACATTCTCCTGTTATCACGAGCCTTTGGATACAATTTGTCATTGGGTCATCCAAGCCAAAGCTCAGTTCCTCTAAGTCTGCCTCCCTTGGTTGATTATTGCTCACTGGGGGGCCACAGTGTTGGCATCCCTGACCAGCTAGCGAGAGATCGGTCTAACCCCAAATAGTAAGCAGGGTCCACTCACACCTATTTCACTGGGCTCAACTAACCCCCAAAAGGGGCCTTTAGAAAGGAAACTCTTTAATTTTGGAAATGTTACATGAGTGCATGATGTTTATAGTTTGTTTTGGGTAGCTATAGCAAAATGCCTGTGTCTGAATAACTTGCAAAATAAAAAATGATTTATTTGGTTCGTGCCAGTGGTGGCTAGATTAGGGCTAATAGCCTAGCAAGAGCATCCTGCTGCATCACAACGTAGTTGAGGGATGGAAAAATAAACTGCCTTATGTAAAAGGGGCCACTAAAATATGATTTTCTGCATATGTACATATATATGAATTCATTTTAATTTCTAGAGACTTTAAGATTTTAAATACTTAAAATTTTTCTATGTTGAGTTTAATGTTAGTTGTTGCTAGTGTTCACCCGGTCAACACTACGCCCTGCCTTGTAGTCTATTTCTACAAATAGGAGGCTCCTTCTCGGTGTCAAATGGCACAGGCAGAGAAAGCAGTCTGTCATACAAGAGTGAATGCAGACACACCGGGCATCAGCCACAGGCAGGTGACATGTGATAGCCCCAAGGAAGCAGACACACTAGAAACAGAACTAACTGTTTTACCCAAATAATGAATTAAGCAACTACAGACCGAGAGCCTAAGAAGGTTCTGAAGTCAGTATTAAAAGCCCAGCTAGCAGGAAGCCACCACTTCCATCGCACATGTTTCTTTACACAGAAATGACTAACTAGAGAATTAGCACAGACAGGGAAGACCACCCCAATTTCTGCACACCCACTCACA